GTAATAAACTCATAAAATAAAATAAAAAACGTAAAAAAATAATAAAAAAAATTAAAAAAGTAATAAAATATTTATAAACTAAAAAATAAAATAAAAACAAAAACAAAAACAAAAAAAAGTAAAAAATACGCCGTCGCCTCTGCCACCACCAGCTCCCATCACCGGTTGGAAATCTTCCAAAATTTTTGGTAATGCCATAATGATAGCAGATTCAATCAGAATTTTGACATTATGAAGAGTGATATTGCCATTTTCTTGATATTTTCAGAAAAATATGGCATTTTTTAAAAAATGGCAAAATTTTCATAGATTGAAGGTGGTGGTACTGGGAGGCGGTGGGAAAGATATCCATTTTTTTTTGTTTTCCTACGGGTTTTTACTATTTTTTATTAATTTTTTTTAAAAAATCATTTTTTTAAAATTCATTCTATAATTTTTTTATTATTTTATTATTATTTTTTCATGATTTTTTAAATATTTTTTACAATTTTTTATTATTTTTTAAAATTTTATTATGAATTACTACGTAAAAAATTTCATTATCGAATTTGACTTGACACGTTTATCAAAAAGTAAAATTGTGTCGTTTGTAATTCACAAAACTGCATCGACCACACAAAACAATCTTTATAAGAAAGTTTGATGAAATGTAAAATTTTGGACCGATTAACGAATGCAGGGATTGCAGGAAGCAAGTCAGACACTATAGTCTATAGATTAATGTTGTCTTTGTTTCTCATGTAGTGATTTAAGAATACACGCAGAGCACCATCGATTCTCTGGTCTCTAGGAAATAATAATGTTTATCATCTAGTTCCCTTGCAATAAAAAATCAATCAGCAATTAGACCATAATGTCCCACCATGTACTGATGTACTTTGATCCTATCACCAGCAATTGCAGGCTTGCAGCAAAATGCACATAACAGAGATCATTCATGCGAGAAATAGTAATCTAATTCGGAAAATTACACAAAATAGGAGCAAATGACACTTGGAATTCCAAAAATAAGACTAGTATGTTTTTCTTCCCGAAATAGGAGTTATTAGTGTCATGTATGAAAAATACTGCCATGATTGAAAAATATTGTCATTAATTATAATGAATACTGTCATGTTAAATACTTAAATGCACTGCACTGCAACTATTTGACAGTCACGGCTAAAAGATGACAGTAAATACTGCCATGTTAGTCCCATTTCGGGAATAAAAACAAAGTAGTCCTATTTTGGAATTTCAAACTTCATTTACTCCTATTTCGGGAAATCTAGAACTAAGAGCCCGTTTGGTAACACGAAAATCGGCTGATTTGGCTGATTCTACTGAAATATATGAAGTTCTGGCTGAAATGGTTGAATAGGTTGATTCTGCTGATTTAAGAAAAAAATATTTTTAAAATATATTTTATTAATAAAATAAAGAAAAAATTATATATATAAATAGCTAAAATGGTTATCTACAGTAACTTCAGCCAATACAGCAAGAAAAGTAACTTCAACCTTACTTTTCCTTATTATTACACAATTCAGAGCGCGAAAATAAAACTTACATGTTTGGTGAAAAAGTTAATTGATAAGCCTGATAAGACGAAAAAAAGTGTTAACAAACGGCCTCTCAATTCACTATATGATACATGAAACATTGCGGTAGTCATGTCCAATTGGCAGTTGGCACCCTGTGACTATGACATGTAAGAAGAATTTAAAATAATCAATAATCTGCTAGGCATCTTGATCTCAATTATCAAAGGTTAGTTTCAGTTCAAACTTCGCATGAAGTTTATTGTGACAATGAGAAACACACCTTTGGGAATATGCTACCAACATTTTCAATGTCCAAATGGTTAACAAGCAATGAAGACTCAAACTACAATGGCATATCCACTTTTACTACTCACAGAGCCGATCCTGACATTTTATGGGCCCGGGGCAATATGAAAAAAAGTCCCTCACCTTAAAAGGTTATATAAATATTTTGAAAAAACCTAACTATATATACACAAATTTCAGCATACAAAGTAATGTAATTTTTTCATCAAAGTCTTAAAATATACGATAATATGAACTAAAAGAATGAAAATTATAGATATATATATATATATATATATATATATATATATATAATTTTTTTTGAGGAATTACCTCTTTTACTGAAATTTCAAATTTGGAAGATATTCTTGAGGAAATTAGGAGAGTAGTGCATGTTGTTAATTGCTGATCGAACCGAACTAAAGTCCAAAGATGAAAACTTCAAATAAACTTGAGAGCTTAATTTTCGAAATTCGGAATAATTAAACAAGGGGAGTGGAGAAGTGACTAACAAGTACTTCGTATGTGAATAGTCATATATTATTTGTATATATTAATTTACTTCGTATAAAAGACATCTCGATTAAAGACTCCATATAAGTGACTAACAAGTACTTCTGGATGGAATTTTTTGGTTAATTTTTTTGAGCATATTATTCATCAAGTGTAGATTATATTTACCAAATTTCATATTAAAATTCAACCGGCAAGTAAGTTAAATAAATTATTGAAACATATTGTGCACTATTTATATACATAAAGCGCGGTATGTTTCAATATTTTATTTAACCGACATCTCGATTGAACTTCAAGTTGAAACTTTGGGCATATAATTAATATACAGTTGATGAAAAACATGCTCAAAAAAATTCATCGAAGAAATCTTCCGGGAAGAGCCCCATAAAATTATGGATATGTATAAAATTATGGACCCCTATAAATATTGGGCCCGGGGCACAAGCCCGGCCTGCCCTTGCCCAGGGCCGGCCCTGAGTCTACTCAAATATGGTTTAATGATATTTTATAAATTTAATCACATGGAGTGACCATTTGGAAATTTAAGGCTAAAAGTCAGATTCTTTTTACCAAAAAAAAAATAAATGTTGGGGAAAAAAAGTATTAATGCCGCAGTAGTCAAGTGACCATAAGTGGAATTTACTATAATATAAGATAAGAGCCTTTAGGAAATTGAGAAGATGTATGGGGGATGCATACTTAAAGGCCCCCTGGTATATAGTATGTATCAATCAATGAGGACACAGGCTTGGTGTTTGATGGAAAGCTTATAGATGAGGCAAAGGCGTTGCCAAGGCTCTCAGCAGTTACAAGAGTGGTGTCCCAAATATGCTTTGGCAATGGTATGAAATAGGGTTGGATTCGGTTCGGGCCACCCGGCCCGTGACCCGGCCCGGCCCGGCACTGTGCGGGCCCGGGACCGGCCCGGTCGGGCGGTCCGGGACCGGGTATGGGCCTGAACCGGGGGGAAGAGGCGGGGCGGGCTCGGTTCATCATATTTGTGACCCGGCCCGGCCGGGTCGGGCCCGGGCCCGGGTCCGGGTCTATTTTTTAAAAAAAAAAAAATTTTGTTTTTTGGCTACTAGCCGTTGAGGCCTTGGGGGTGGGGCTGGGGACAACCCAAACGGCTATATAGCCGTTGGGTGGGGTAAAGGGGGGGTCCGGGGGGTTGGCTGGTAGGGGGGGGTGGGGGGGGTGGGGGGTAAAAAAACCTATAAATACTCCTACTCTTAAACATTTTTTCATATCTCTTCTCCAATTCTTCCTAAATCCTATTCTTAACTCTCTACTCTCTAATTCTCTTATTCTCCAATCTATTATATATATCTACTCTCTAATTCTCTTCTCCAAGAAGTTAAGATGGAAAATCAAAATGCCATTATACGATATAATTTTGATAAGCAGAAGGACCCGAAGACCGGGATGTGGTACGCAATTTGCAAATGGTGCGAAAAAAAATGTATCGTGGGGGCTTCAGGCGGATTCGGGATGACAATCAAGCATATGAAGTCATGTGACAAAGCCAAAGGATCGGGAGGTGCGGGAAGTTCCGATTGATTACAATTTTCAAAATGTTTATCTCTTAAAGTTTGTTTTAATTTTCAAATGTAGTTCCTATTTCATTTCAAATAAATGCAATTGAAGTTTGTTTTTAATACTCGTATAAAACTATAAACTATAAAATATAAATTATAAAAAAAAAAATTAACCGGCCCGAACCGGACCCGACCCGTGACCCGGGCGGGTGGCCCGGCCCGAACCGGACCCGTCCAACCCTCGGGCCGGTCCCGGGCCCACTGTTCTTGAACCGGCGGCCCGACTGGGCCTAGGCCCGGCCCGGCCCGAATCCATCCCTAGTATGAAAAGTGAAAAGTGATAGATCCGCTAGCCCTACTTTCCGTGGAAGTATGAGAATGGTTTGGCGCCTAGAAAAGGGCAAACACATTGAGTAAATCGGAACTGAAAGATTCTTAATTCATTTTTATCATGAGAGCAACACTAGTTGTGTAATTACCGGATGAGTCGTGGTCTTTTGAGCAAAATTTAGTTATTTTGTGGAGACTGGGAGCAACAAAAAGACCTTTACATGTGGAGCATGATAATGCTGAATTTTGGGATTCCTGACAGAAGAAGTTGATAACTGCTAGTTGCCGGTGTATCTCTCAAATTTCAGTACACACATTGAACAAATTAGTTCCAAATAAAAAGTCATTGGTATTACATGACTCGGAGGCAAGATCAAGCTATTCTGCTGAATGTGTATGTGTGCAAAGCTGATTAAAGAGTAAATACATATCCTACTTACATTAAATTGCGTTCTCACTGAAATACTGAGGCAATTTATGACAAGGTTGCATCATTTAATCTGCTTCACAATACCTTTTACCCACTTCATATTATGAACTTTCGTGAATGCTATCTAACTTTCAGTTGTTTGAAATTTGCAATTAATATAAAACTGTGAAATAAAATAAATAAAAACTTTCTTCAGTATCACCTATCTTGCTATCTTTGTCCATTGGGATCAAATGGTTTCTACCGAATAAAGTACTACTGCATATATTTCATCTCCCCCAAACCTGTCAAATTCATGAAAGACATAGAAGCAGGATAATCAACAACAACCTCCAAGCCTTATTCCCAAAAGATTTTGGGGTCGGCTAGTTGATATCAATCCCAGCATACAAGTCTTATGCATATTCAGAAACACATGAGATCAATTCGCAATATATGAAAATCTTTTACGAACATTGCTTTACTTAGCTTAGTTTCTGCATAATACCAAACTCTTGACATTTTTTACTACGTCAGGGCACCAACAAAACAATGTCGGAAATTAGAAACACAATGTGTGTACTGTTTTTACAGTGAAAAAATAAGTAGCTCCCCTACTTCCTCTCTGAAAGATTTGGCCTTTCCCATCCAATGAATGTATTCAATTTTGGCTTTGTTCCTCATGTAGTGATTTAAGAACACACCCATATCATCATCGATTCCCCTGGTCTCTAGGAAGCTATAGAGTTCATCCTGCAGTTTATCATCTAGTTCCCTTAAAATAAAGGACCAAACAGCAAATAGGCCATGATGTTCCACCATTAACTTTGCTCTTATCAACAAGGACATTTTTTACTATGTCAGGAAACCAACAAAACAATGTCGAAAAATAGAAACACAATGTGTGTACTGTTTTTACAGTGAAAAAATAAGTACCTCCCCTACTTCCTCTCTATGAAAGATTTGGCCTTTCCCATCCAACGAATGTATTCAATTTTGGCTTTGTTCCTCATGTAGTGATTTAAGAACACACCCATATCATCATCGATTCCCCTGGTCTCTAGGAAGTTATAGAGTTCATCCTGCAGTTTATCATCTAGTTCCCTTAAAATAAAGGACCAAACAGCAATTAGGCCATGATGTTCCACCATGTACTTTGCTCTTATCAACAACAAGGACAGCAAAACGGCCATAACAGAGCATTCATGTGAGAAATAGTAAACTTGTGAATAACTAAATTCACTATATGCTATATGAAACTTTTAGTCAAATCGAATTGGCACCATGTGATCATTAATTCCAAGAAAAAAATAGAAAAAACAATAATCCCCTTGGCGACTTGATCTCAAGAACAAAATGAGTTAAATGACATTTTCTGATAAAACAGAGCTAGCAAATGCATGAATTGTGGTCAAGACAATGAATTAAAAATCCTTAGCCCTTATGAGTATGCTTCACAACATTTCCAATGTCCAAAAGGTTAACAAGCAATAAAGACTCAGTTATAGATCGATGAGTAAATCCCACTTTTGGCCATTTGACTACAGTGGCATTTCCACCCTTACTACTCAACTTTTAAAAATGTTCCACTGTAGTTTAAAACATCCAAAACGCCCTCAAATACAGCACAATGATATTTAATAAAATATTCACATAGCGTGTGGCCATTTGACTACAGTGGCATTTTACTCTTACTAGTTACTACTCAACTTTTAAAATGTTCTACTTAGTGGTTTAAAATATCCAAAATGCCAAAAATATGGTACAATGATATTTTATAAAATATTCACATAGCGTGAGCATTTTGAAAATTTTAGACTAAAGATAACATTCTTTTTATCAAAAACTAAAAATAGAAAACTAAAAGTTGTGAGCCAAAAGTATCATATCAATGCCATGGCAGTCAAGCCGACGATTAGTGCAATTTACTCTAGAGTCTAGATATAAGTTAAAAGCCTTTATAAAATTGAGAAGTAAGTTACATGGAGGATGCATACTTAAAGGGGGGTCCAGTGTAAAGCTGAGCTGTAGCTGGACCATGCATACGCATTGTAACTTTACGGATCTCAATGCTGTTAGGCCATGCAGAGCAAACAAACTCCAACACGTCATTGTTTTCTCCTTTAAAGATATCAACAATCATTGTAGCATGAAGATACACTTCATCTTCTTTGGAAATATTACCACCTTTTTTAACCGGAACAAATCCATCAAACATGGTTACATCAATCTTTATCTCTTCTTTCTCTCCAAATTTCCTATTAAGTCTAGTCCATTGCTCTCCCGGCCTTTCATCAATCATAAATGGTCCAAATTTAGGGACAGGCTGCAGTTCCAAAAACGCTGTTAATCAAAAGAAGGGGAAATTGATGTGATGAGCACAATATTGCACGAGGAATATGAAAAGGAAGAAATGAAGATGTCAAAATTTCCCATCCATACCTTAGGAGCTGAAATAGTTTACTTAACTATAAACAGAGGATTTACTTATCTAGAATCCTAAACAATCTAAAGTTTTAAGTTTTCCTCTCACGGTATTTTTATCAGTTACTGTAAAACCATTATAATAATACCTTCAACAATCATTTCGAAAAAAAATTAAAGGGATCAATATATAAGGAAAAATAAGCTAAAGTCCAACAAACATTATCCAGTTTACCCTTCATGACAAAGTATTGGGTCTTACCAAGAAGTGGCTTTATTGTCTATGCGTGAAAATCTTAGCAAAGAGTTCAAAATTATGGAATCAAAATTAAAGAAATTACTCCATAACAGATGATTGAATAGGGCCATCAGAAAAAACAAAAATAAAGTACCTTGGAGGGAAGTGAGTTGTCAATCTCATATTGGATCTCACTTCGGAGTAATCTAATGATGTTTCCTTCAAAAGCTTCCTTTCGCATTTCCGAAATGAAATTCCTAGTTGTGGTTAAAAGCGCTTTGGGTTGCGACAGAAGCTTCTGTGCAGCTCCTCGCATTGATCCGAAGACCATGTGATGCGCCATTGTGGCTTGTATAAACTGCTGATAGCCTAAGGTTGAGTTCCAAACAAGTTTAAGTTTTGTGTTACTGACTTACTGTTATGAGTAGACCTGTCAATAGATGTTAAAAGATTCTTAACCGAGTGACAATAACAGCAAAGAGTTCATAAGCCTAAACACGAAGGATTGACATGGAAACTTAACAAGTTAAGATTTGATTGTTCTGAACAGGCTAACATGATAGACGCTTAGTTAAACACTTGAAAGCTTCCAAGTGCACACAATATGATAACATTTCCAGCAGCATATCCAGAACATTTATTCTGAAGGTGAGATTATATACTGCTACCATTAAAAAAAGAAATGTCATTAACTCAATAAAGTAATTTGAAGATAAGAAATTAAAATTAAAATTGAACATTTAATTCATAACTCAGATTTCTATAACTGAACATGAAAATTATAAACTCATGTGAATATATTGATAAGAGATACTAGGATAAATTACACATGCAAAACTAAAAACTTCAACTAGAAATATCATACTTATAAAGCGCGCTAAATGCATTTGAAGTTCTTGCAATCACTTAGTCCTAAACAATTAATAAATTTGGATTTTTCTATTTTTGTACATAACGAATTTTGTATTTCTAAATTTCAAGTTAAAGATTTTGTGCTTCAAATCTTCTGAATAAAATTTAGGAACTCTATATCCAATTTTAAGTTAGAGATTTTGTACATCAAATTTTCTAAACAAAATTTAGGAATTCTCTGTCCAAATTCGGTTTCCAATTGATAGGGACCTGGGCAGTCAATAATAAAAAGAATAACGGAATAATATTATATAGTGTGATATTGTATGATAGAACACTGGTATTTGATTCACAGAACAGTATAGAATTCAATAGAAAAAGTAGGAGAACAGATCAAAAGCTTTATTCAATAGGTAGAACAGATCACAAGGGATACAATGCTCTACGACTATTCGAGATGCCCAATCTCCAAGTACAGCCTCAACAGTAATAACAGCCTACTTCTTCTAGTTCATAAGCTTCTATTTATAGTAAAATTGTCCACGCAGGGAACAACAAAACTAACAGGCTAGTTAGTCATTACTAACTGCCTTTCTACTCCTCCTATGGTAGACTTTATTATAAAATTGAACTGGCTGTCGTATTGAGTTCCTATCAATACTCCCCCCCCCCCCCCCCTAAACAACCACCTTGTCCTCAAGGTGGGTGATAGGGAACAGCCATGATCTTCCACTTCCACTTCATTCTTGCACCTCTCCCTTCCCAATACTTTACTGATTTCTGTGCTTGGATCTTCATCATTACTTCCTTCACCTTTGGCTTTTCACTCCATCCAAGTAATTCCTGCATCTTGTTGTTGTCATTACTTTGGAGGATTATTCCTTCAGGCTGCTCTAAAACTTCTAGAGCCTCAGAGCTGGTAAAAGGATCTGCCCTGAAAGTAGCTCGCAGTATCTCATAAATCCTATTCATAGTGTGGTTGATGAGTGATGAAATTAAGTGCTTGATGTGTGGCCAATCGACTCCAGAGTCTGTATCAGTTAAAAACTGTGACAGTGCTTGACAAGCATTTACTTTTACAGGAGGAGGCACATCCATGCCGATTACCTTAACTGCCGCATACACAAATTGCTCATCAACCCCTGTTGCAATGTCTTCTACACGAATATTCTCCCAAATATTTCCTACAGTAGCACCACAATTTCCACAAACCTTTGTTACAAATATCTTCTCTGACACTGAAGCTACGGTGAAAAAAGTAGCGTCCGGTACTCTCCACCCAACCGGCGATCCCGCAAGCTTCTCCTGCCATGATTCAATAAACCTTTTTTCTTCCACTTTAGCAAAGAATTGGTTGGTATTCATCAACCAGATCCTGGTGTGGGCCTGCTGCTTTCTTATCTGCAGAAAAACAATGACAATATACACCAACTCCTCCAGACTATGCATCATTACCTTTACACGCTTCTTGCTATCCAAAATTGTCAACAAGAGCTTAGATAGATCGCCTGAAGGTATTTTCTGTTTCCAACTACGAAAAGGAGTAGCAGAGTGCAAGGAATTCCTGGATGAATAATCAGCTAGAGCCCAAAGAGACACAGGATACTCTCTTAAATCATTATAAGATCTTCCAGTAAGTGTGTTGAAAAGTACTCAAAGTTTGTACTCTCTTTTCTCTTCCAACTTTCCTAAGGGATTTCAATCCACATTTTGTGTATTCCGAAGAACTCAGGACTATCAGAATCTGAAACCATAACATTTTCCTCATACTTTCCGGTAAATCCTACTCCCATTTCATTTTGAATATACTTCAAAGAAGGAACACCATCAATCTTATTCAGCCCTTCCAAACTATTGTTTAGTAAACAAGGGTGCATAATTTCCGTTAGAACACCCAATCCAAGTTCTGAAACTCTACCAATCCAAGATTTAAAATCTTCTGGTTTTCAATCTAGGGCACCAGTATAGCTTCGAACTTCATAGGTAAGTGTTGAAACCCTAGTTGTATTGGGCTTAGCCCATCTTGCATAGTATCCCTAGTGCTCTAGTTTTTGCTATAAATATAGCTACTTGTATAGTTCTTAACATCAAGATTCATTATAATGAAATATAGTTTATATAGTTCACATGGTATCAGACTATCAGAGCCATTTATATGGCGCACTGTAGTTAGGACACTGTCCTTTTTCCGGTGAGACTTTCCGGCGTGAACAGTAGCCGCGCTAGGCGTTGGAGCACTTCCGGTAGTGATATATCACATCGCGACCTACCGCCTTGCTCAGCGCACCATCGCGACCAACACGCCGGAAACTGTACCAGCTCGGAATCGTTCACGCGCCTACACACGCCGCCGCTCTACCCACGATTTACCGAACGATTTTGCAGATCTACTCCGTTTTACTCGTCTCCGAGCGACACCGACAGGTTTTCCGAACACCTAGGTCCTTGATGACCTAGACCAGTCAGTTCGGCACTCCCAGGCTTCTCCACGCGCCGCCACCTCATCCACACGCGCCGCCGCCGATCGTACGCGCCGCCGGTCCAGACTCTCCACCACCATTCCTGCCTTCCAAGTGAGCAGACTTGTTCCGCTGCTTGTTCCGCTTCTAAGGTCACGGTAGTGTTGCTTCCATATCTCTGTGTTGTTTTAAGCTTACTGTTCCGCTGCTGTCCATACGTCTGTGAGCAGATTAGTCACCTTACTGATCTGCCTGATATTTTATTTGCTTAACAAAAAAAAGTCAAAAAAAAAGTCAAAAAAAAAGAAGAAAAAGAAAAAAAGAAATGTCAAGTTTCTCTTCGTTTGCTTCAGTTCCAATCATCACCACCGATCGACTAGCTGGAAGTATTAATTATCAATCATGGGCTATTTCTGTGGAGATGTGGTTCAAAGGTCAAGGTCAAATTGATCACTTAAATGTCTATGCAAATACGATCAAAGGCAAGCGGAATGAATGGGAGAATATGGATGCCTTATTGTGCAATGTGTTATGGCAATCTATGGATCCAAAACTTCATCCTACTTATCAATCATACCGCACATGCAAACAGATTTGGGAAAAAGCTAAGGCCAACTACACAAATGACATCCAAAATCTGTTTTCCTTTGGTTCCAAAATTACTACGCTCAAACAAATGAGGCATTACTGTTTGAATATAATAATATTCAACCTATCACTGAAGATAAGGAGAAACAACTCGAGCAAAGACAACAACTTCTTATGGTTTTAACCTTAGCAGGTCTTCGCCCAGACATGTTATCAATTCGTGAGCAAATTCTCTCTAGTTCTTTTGTTCCTACAATGTCTGAAGCCTTTGCCAGAATTCTTCGAGCCGACCCAATATATGCTGACGCATCCTCAAGTGATTCTATCATTCTTGCATCTCAAGGTTCAGAGCATGATGGGGGAAATAAAAAAGGATATCCCCCATCAGAAATTTAAGAAGTCCACTCTGACTTCATCAACATCAAGTACTTCTACGGCATGTGTGTCAAACCCAACTGGCTCGTGGATCATTGACTCGGGTGCTTCCGACGATATTTCTGGTAATCCCCGTCTTTTATCCCATATTACAAAACACAAAAACCTTCCATTGATCACCCTAGCCATCTTCTCACTTCGGCTACGGGTATTGGGCAAGCCCTCCCACTTTCATCCTTACCATTAGATTCAGTTTTATATGTTCCTCATAGTCCTTTTAACCTTGTCTCTATCAGCAAAATTACACGCTCTCTTAATTGTTCTATAACCTTTTATGCTGACTCTGTGACTGTGCAGGACCATTGTACGGGGAAGATGATTGGCATCGGGCGTGAATCCCAAGGTTTGTATCACCTCCAACCTCTTGATCCAGTTGTTTCTGTGTCCGCTGAACAAGCAATTTCCTTACATGATCATTTGGGTCATCCCAGTCTCTCCAAATTTCGGCATATGGTCCCAGGTTTCTCAAGTATTTCCTCTTTAGATTGTGAGTCGTGTCATCTTGGAAAGCAACCTCGTCAGTCCTTTCCAAGACGTGTCAATAACAGGGTTCTTATTGAAGGAAAGAAATAATTTGCATTTAGACCATAATATTGTAGTTAGCCGTTACATATCTTTGGCATTTACTATAGTAATACTACGTATTATTTACCTTATATACATGATTAGGATGTGTATAAATAGGAGCTTTGTAAACCAGTTTTAACACAGAAATATATTCAAAACATTTGTTCTCTTCTCTCTATTATGGTATCAGAGCCACTGAGCTCTAACCGCCCTCCTTCCCTCCCCTATGACAACCAACGACAGCCAGCCTGAGGTTCTCCTCCAACAAGGAGACCTCAACAATGTTCCTACCAGTACACCCATCACCCCTAATATCCCTTTTACAACAGTTTCCGCACCCCTCACCCCAGATGGATTAATCCTTCTAAATCCCAGTCATTTCCCAGAAAAGCTGGATGGTTCGAATTACCTTGTATGGCGCGATCAGATTTTGAATCTTCTCTTCGGGTCTCATCTTGATCAGTACATATCCGACGATGCTGCCCCGCCACCGGAGAGTGATGTCGATGGCCGTCTCAGATGGACAAGGCAAGACAGGCTCATCCGACACGCCCTCATAGCTTCGTTGAGTTCGGCCTGTAAACCCCTAGTTGGATCCTCTCGCACGTCTGTAGCAGTTTGGAAAACTCTTGAGGACCTCTATGGGACTCGTTCAGCATCCCAAATCCAGAATATGAAGGATATCTTCCGGCTGCAAATAATGCTCCGGTTTTTTTCATGCGACAAGGCTCTCAACCAGTGGGGGCGTATCTCCATCACC